CGAAGAATTTTCAGATCGATGTCGCGGAGCGCCTCCTCGCGGGTATCGTAAGTCCACTCGGAGGAGCTGACTCGGAGCAGATTATCCATCACAAGAGGGAGGCTAGCCAATTGGGGCAAAAGCGTCTCGTGGCGGAAACTCCGGTCGTGTGGACACAACGGGGGACTCCCAGAGGTAAGGGACACTCACAGTCTGAGCACAAGGTTTGAGAAGACTAGGCATGGATCCGGTCAAGCGCTTCCTCTCGAAGTCGGGGACCCGGGACTATCTGATGTAGAGCGAGAGCTCGACCAAATCTCTGAGTTGCTGTCCCTTTGAGGTGATCGAGGCACCTCGAGAACACGATAGGGAGATTGGATCCTAGTTTTGCGCCGAGCTGCGTCGCTTCAGCCTGCGTCACGAGGTAGGGGACGTCGTAACATGCTGTGACGACCCCTTCTAGGGGGTATCGGGCTCGAACTGATAATAATCAGAGGCCTTTTAGGCTCGTGTATCTCATAGCAACGGTTCCGCCCTTGACTGAAGACCTCCAGAGGGAAGACAACCTTCCAGAAACCGAAGCTCTTCGGGAGTCTCGACGGTTGTGGGAGATAAAGCTGACCGAAGCCGATCCGGGTATCTTCTATACTGAGGCATTCAGCTCAGATAAATGGAAACGGGCCAATTATGAAAACCGGCACCTGGTGACCCGTTTCGCCATGCACGGTTTCCACCATAAGATCTGCGCTCGCAAGGGTTTCCACTCCCCATCAGAGAGCTGCGCTTGCATGCTATGCGGGGTAGCGCGCGACACTCATCATCTAATGGATTGCAAGCATCCTGTTCCCTTGAGGGAACTTAGCTAATATTTAAATCAAGAACTGATCTTCAATTAATGAACTTATTTTTATTACTAGCGCTCCCGGTCGCCGCTTCGCGGCGACTCGGTATGGCTTCGCTCACTCCACATGCGCTGGCTCCGACTGCGCTGGCTCCGGGTGCGCTTGCTTTGGTCGCGCGTGCTCTGGGTGCGCGTCCCGTTTCCCCGCTTTCCCGTTTTCTCGCTTTCCCGTTTTCTCGCTTACCCGTTTTCTCGCTCACCCGTTTCCTCGCTTTCCCGTTTCCCCGCTTTCCCATTTCCCCGCTGTCCCCGTTCCCCCGCTTCCCCGTTCCCCCGCTTTCCCGTTTCCCCCGCTTTCCCCGCTTTCCCGCTTTCCCACTTTCCCGTTTTCCCACTTTCCCGTTTCCCCGCTTTCCCGTTTCCCCACTCTCTCGTACCCTCGCTTTTAGTCCATATGTTCTCCGGAAAATCTATACCCTTCAAAGACTACAGCAATTTTCAGCGAGATTCATTAGTAGAGACACACAGGCCAATGATGACGGCAACCCCCGGTAGCCTTCTTAGGAGCTCCCGAGAATCCACCTTCTCATGGTGATCGGTTCAGCCGATAAGAAATCCTGAGAATTCCCGTCTTTCCCTTGATGAAATCTTCGATTCTCGGTGAGAGGACCACTCAGATAATATTTTTATGGTGGGAGGACCCATCACATGAGAACGACGACCCTCATATGACCCTCCTGAAGCTCTCGAAAACCCATTTCTGAATTTTTGCGGCGATCGGTTCAGGCGTTTGTGAATTTAGCGAATTTCCGATTTTTCAATTTTTTTCCGAGTTTTCGTATTTTCATGGGTGGGGCACTCAAATAAATTTTTTAAGGTAGAAGGACTCATCGCATCGGAGAACTGACCCCCCTATAAGCACCGCTGGATCCCCCAGAACACGCTCCTAAATTTTCACGACGATCGGTTCAGCCGTTTTCGAGTCTATAGGGTACCCCGGACATACAGACAGACAGACGGACATACGTTTTTATATATATAGATAGATCATTATAATCATAGGGAGGACGGAACACTCGGAACGTACCCTCTAGTTGGATGCGGAGCTTTCTCCAATCAAACGAAGCTCGATTCCTGTACGTATCAAGCGGTCCTGGCGGGAAAACGTCGAAAAGCTCCAGGAGCTCAACTTTCTCACTGTCCTGCATCATTCGAGACTCGTCGTACTCAATTTCTGAAGAGGAACAAGGACTGACTGTGCACAGGTGTAGTCGGTTCCGCAGAAAAAGGTCCGGCTGAGAGAGATCACACCGAGGGAGTTATGGGTCGGTGACGGGTGAGCCGGCTTGAATGCGGAAGCGGGAAAGATCGATCCTCGACTCGATAATTTTCCGCTCCGCGTGAACCCATAGAGGACCGGTGGATCCACCGATGAAGCGACGGCTTGTCGAGTTGTTATTCCGTTTGTCTATTCCCGTGCAAACGTGCAGAGCCTCGGCGGCGCACAGTGGTCAAAAATCGATTTCTAGGTGGACAAAATTATTCGGTCGTTTCTCGCCCATATCTCAAACTTGAATGGTTTAGACTACCCGATACGATGAAAATGAGGGACGGATGACCCCCCACAAGGACGCACCGACCCGAAGAGTTGCGATTTGTATCGATACGACCGAGGGAAAATTCTTTCGTGGCCGACAATAGGCGAAAACCTAAATTGCTCATTTAGGACCTTTGCCCCGGCTTGCCCCGGGAATTTTTTTTTCTAAAAGCTCCTCATGCCTTCCGCTTTTCAAAGCACATCTCCGATTTCTGCGCATTTTTGCGCTAAGGGCTTTTAAAAAAAAAAAGTCTAATTTTCGCTGATTTTAGGTCTTCATCGGAGACATCGAATTATAGCCGGGCATGCTTCAGACGAGATGGCCTGGGCTGTCTTAGAATATTTTTTCCTCTCTTTTACTGCTCGTGGGTGACCATAGGCGGAGATACCGGGATGCAGAATTCGCTACAGGCTTTGATCCGCTTCGATTGTGGAGAAAGATTTCCTCTTTTACAATAGCATGGATATGGATCCCGATCGGTGCTCGCGATTCGGGGGCGAAGCGAGTCATCTCGGCGATCCGACATCCAACAGCTCGTTTCCAGTATTACCGCCGAAAAAGCGATCTCTTGAGCGCCAGCAGACGATGTTCCGAGTCTGACTCACGGGCAAGCT